CACACGACGGACACCGGCTCTCGGGCAGCCAGTTGCTCGGTTGATGGTCGCGCTATGGCCACGGTGGTCGAATCGCTTGCATTTTCAATGTGAAGTAGTGCGATGGACACCTGCGTTCAAGCTACTAGTAATAGCTGACTACGCGCGCAAAAGATCCATGACTTACGAAAATTTACAGATTTGACCGCACTTACTTCCGGTCCACAATGACCACATATTAGCACGAGGTAATTGCGATTCGCTGCTAGTGATTTACGGTCGGAATATGACGTGCGGTCGTGCACATCGTCCGTCCGTAGCGTCGCCAGCGCCGGCGTCGCCTGCGACAACCGTAACGTGACCGCAACCGCCAGCCGTAACCGCAGACCCAACGGCAGCAGCAGCAGCATCAGCAGCAGCAGTAGCAGCAGCAGATTCACATCCGTCGACAAACTCAAACAATCCTCTCGGATCAGATGATTGAGATGTCAATCGATTGGGCATGGATATATCGCGAAATAGCGCTGAGTAAACAGACACGCCAATCACTGCCAGTCAGACATAACCAGCTGTGAGCGGACGATGAAAATATGCTGCTGCTGCTTCAAGTTACTGGATCGGCAATTGTACACCCCTCAGTGCCATGAGTACTTCTACAGGAGATGCTCTTCAGCTGTACCGGATTCGCTGCAGCAGTTTCTAGTCTTGGTCTGGATTCGGGGCCCGGATTTGAAAAGCGTTCGAGCACTTTCAACATGCTCCGTGCCTCTATCTGTCTGAGTGTGTGTGTGTATGTATCTAAAGAGTGTCCTCACGGCGACACTTGTGCTCGAACAAAGCAGGAGGGTCCCGCTGCTCGAATCCGCCCGATCTCCGCCGATTAAATCTCCGGTTGCGGTGAACTCCGACATCTTCAAGTGCTATCCTAAGTTTCGCTTAAAATTCATTGTTCACGATACAATTTCATAGGCAACCGCGAACAGGGAGGTGTCATTTCCATTCTTTCTAATTGGGAACCTAGGGAATTTTCGCGATCTCAAATTACATTTCGATAGCACTTTCAATAGCACAGAATGCTTCCGTGTGGTAATCATGGGCTTTACACAAGATCTGGCAACACCTCGTCGATTTTTCACTCGCTCAGCCTCTTTCTCTTCACATATGCCCCTGATTCTCATTGAAATCCCCTCCTGAACATCTTCTTGAAATTATTTGTGTTCAGTTAGTTCAATTAGGTCTGGCTGGTTGTTACATTGTCATCGGCTAACACTATTGCCGTATTGATCGAGTTTAGCGATTATTTGCTCATTTTGGCTTGTCGTTCACCTTTCACCCGGCAGGTTTTGTTATTCTTCCTTTTCTTGTCCTTTTCGAAGCGCTAGGCTCTTGTCGTTCATCACTGATGTAAATTGTAAATTTTCTCAGAATAATTCTCTCCTTTCCCAAAACCTGAAATATTTTTCATATTATTGTCGCTGCGCTTGATGAATATTGCTCCCGGACTAACTTTGTCATGGCGCTATTTTTAGAGAATGATGAGCATAAGAGATTGATTACCCATTGATAACCCTTGACGGAGGACAATTTGCGGGATTTGTTTAGTGAATGGCAATTAGTTTACAGGCTTCTATTACGAAACGTGATGATAATGTCAATAGCTATTAATTACACGTGCATACCTGCGCAAACCTTTTGAGCACATAAGAATACATATTGAAATAAAATCCTGTCATATGTAGCGTCAAAATAGCACTTGGAACTGTCAATGTTACTCAGTTATTCCATGTGATCGAGTATTTTGTGATATCAAATAAATTTGAATATCACAAAGTATCGATCAAGATTCCTAGAAATCCGGTGGTTGTAGCAGAAAAATTTGCGAATTTCACTATCGTTTTTTTGTTACTGCTTCACAACATTTATATGAAGAAGAGACAAGAGAAGAAAGAACTATCACCTAAGTAAGATATAAAAAATGTCAAGCGGACAACAGTCACAATTATTAACTTTAGCTGTGTAGTCAATTAGAAACGATGTGTTAAATTTGGTGAAGGAAGACCGTAATTGCACAATTCTATATATAGCTGAGCACCCCATTCTGCCCGCAAAGTGAGAATTTTGCGCAAATTTTTTCACTAATGCGATTGACAATTAAGCACAGTTTAGTACTATAATGTAGCGAAATGGTAACTAGATAGTGATGATTCAAGTGGAGGCTCCTCCTTGATATTTCTTTGTTTGCACGTCTTCTGAATATTTAGTTAAAACTTCTACATATCCTATAGCTTCTCTAATGTGAAGATTAGAGTCAAAAAGTTGGAGAAAGAAAATAAAAATGTGAAATCTTCAGGCAAATGATGTGACTAGTAATTAATTTGTGTCAATATTTGTCGAAATAAATTAAGAGAATTTTATTGGGATAGATGAACATTTATAGCAGTTTTGAGCAAATTAGTTTGTGTTAGAAGTCTTAGTAAGTACATATATGTTTTTTTGCTGAATTTTGGGAAATCGTAATTGCAATACTGAGAGATATCATAATTGATCATGACTTGTATTGTAAAGATAATCAACAACAATTTGACAAGTTCTTCGGACCTAATTGTAAAAAGTCAAAGCTGTAATTATAAGTGATCGTAGTTTATATATGACCCTGTATGATTAAGGTCTGAAGAATCTATCAGTACAATCAAATCTGTAATTATAAGTGATCGTAGTTATATATGACCCTGTATGATTAAGGTCTGAAGAATCTATCAGTGCAAAGGAGGCTTACCATGGAAATTACAAGGAGTTCTCATCAGGTTCTAAAGGACGATTGGTAGCGTTATCCAAACGGAACGTCTTCTTATTTCAAACCTAAGTTGGCTTTACCTATTTATGATAATTACTCAACTGTATTCGCTTGGATAATGGCATGGAAAATATGAAGCTTTTAGCTTCCGATTCCGATTGTTACCGAGCCATTGAAAAGGCAATTGCGAGGGATTTGACTGCACTGAATATTCTATTGTTACTTGATGCCCTCCTACCTGTATATGTTTTCGCATAGCGATAAGTCTGCCTGTCCCTAAAAACCGCTAGAGATTGTTGTCCAATAAATCAACACTTCTTGTCACTATTTACAGTTCGGATTCGCGAAAATAGACGAGCTGCGTGAGACTTTGATTGACAGAGAACAATACTAGTGACGAAGATCTCGTACGTGATTTTCGCCACATCAGGTGTATCACAACATTCTTCATTCCAAGGCTTGAGTGTGTAATAAGAAGCCCAGGATGTAGAAGTCGTCTGCCTCAACGAGCCTCAGCTCTGCTCGGCATCGGCGCTGGACCTCTTAGGATCGCCCCGCCCACCCCCGCCCCGCCTCCCGCGACTCCGCCCTGCATGCTTGTGTAATGCCGCGATTTTTCGGATGTAAGAAACACATGATTCACGCGAAAATTCTACGCCAGCACTTTCGAGCTCAGCCCCAGATTATTTTCTGACTATCAGACCATTGTTATGATACCGTGACCCTCATTTGAAAAATTTCTGCTGAACTGGGGCCGGAGATGCGGATAGAGTGAGTCCCTGCCCTTTTGTTGCCCGAGTCTTGGGTCAACGGTCAAGCTAGGAAAATAGCAAAATAAGGCTATACCTCTTAAGCACAAAGCCAGGAACGTCGCACATGTACATGGTTTGGATTCAAGCAATTCCTTTTTTACGAGAGGCAATAGATCAGTTGAAGTAACCCGCAGAAGGTCCCGTCACAGAAGACACTGCTTCCAGAGAGCAATCACACTTCCTCCTCGTTATTAGTTGGGAGTGAAAGAACTATACTGCGAAGTGCATTAATGACTTCCGGACGAAAATCAGCGGAACGTTCGTGTAGTTCGCAGTGATTCACGTGCTACTTACACGACAATCACTAAAAGGTCCAGTTTTGAGTACTGCAGCTGCTCATGAGGGCTTTTCAGCAACGTTACGCTGTTTCGTTGGACGTCCATCCGTCAGTTCGTCATCTGGGCAAGTGAGTCGGCAGCGATCGGGCGCCGACGGGCGCCGATGCTGCTGCGACAGTTGCCCGAGCGGCTGTCAGCCGGGTGTTGACTCTCTAGACCTCCTCCCACTCTCTTCTCATCTTATCACATCGCAGAAGTGTGCTGCCTGCTTTGAAAAACGTTCCCATCGCCTAAAGGTACTTCAGCCAGTCACTGCTATTCTTTCAAGACCCATTCCATTGGCCCTTTCTTTATGAATTCGCCGCTGCTCGTGGTTTCCCCACTTCTTTGCCTCTGCCCTCTTCCTCCTTAATATGTCCGCGTAATTCTTCGTACTTTTCTTCCCATTCGCGTCATTGTTGATACAGGTATCCAGTACATTCATAAACTTTTCTACAGGATTATCGTAATTCCTGCGGGAAGTTGTGTGGTGGGTGGGTGCGTCGTGCAGTGTTTGTTTCGTCTCAGAACTAGGTGAGTCGTCACCGATGACATTAAATTTATTTATTTTTTACCAATTTATAGAAATACATGGATTTGGATTTCATAGTTTTCCGTATTTTTTCACATTGATGCGATTTTAATTGCAGCTATGCTTCCATCTTCAGTATATGGACAATTGAGTGATCCGTTGGTGCAGGCAGCAGCGGCAGCCTTGGCATCCGCCGGAACGGATTCAGTCATAGGTGAGAAAAGAGCCTGCCCATGTCATGTGCGCGGCGATTCGCCAACCTGCCAGACCGCTTACCCCCGAACCCGGTTTCATTCCCGCTATATGTTTGTGTGGCGAGAATGAGACCCGGTTCAGCACTCATTTCGGTTTCACACGGTGACATGATTGCGGCGCTTGGAAGCCTTCTTACACTGGTCACAGAGAACGAACTTCAAAAAGCTATTAGGTCAAAATTTCACGGGTTTCATCAAAAGGCACTTATGCAACCAGCCTTACTATGTAGAAGATAAGGGTTTAGTGATAGAGTTTAGAAGGTGGTAACCTAAAAGGTAGGCTCTATTGGCTCTTTTGAAATAGAGCATTACAGAACATCTGACCGAACCATTCCATTCCATCTCAAATGGAAATGGAATGATATTGCCCTATTTAGGTTCTGTGAACTGGTTTTATTAAAGGTAATGAGGGCTGTTATGGTAATAAAGTGGGCTGTTCTTTATTCCGTGGGCGTTAGTCAAACTTATACATGCCATAGCAGGAGATTTTGTAAGAAGCCCAAGATTTTAGAGAGATTACGTACAAGGGCTGCATACCACTGCCACTACTGACCATATCCTGAGTCCGACAGAAAAGGGTAGTAAAAAGTAAGAATTAAGATGATATCGAATAAGGCAGGAACGAAAAATTGGGACCTTTTGGGCTTACAGAAATTTTTGTGCGCTGAAAGATAGTTGCGGATCAAAGGGTCCAGGACAATTAGGGCAATTGCAACTCGTCCACGGGCGGGGCTTCCCAGCCACCAAGTGGACTGGGGGTGTGCTAAGTAATAATTATTTAATTAGTTTCCTTGAGCTCCTAATATCACACCTGCCTGAAATGGAGAATGACCGACGAATAATCATTAAGGGCCAAAGTCGTGTGTCTGGCTAGGAAAATCTGCTCTAACATCCCCTTCAGTTGCAGTGGCCGGGTTAAGTTCCCTCATCCACGACTGTTTGCGCCAATTACCAATTTTTCAGATCATCACAAATGCTTTCTTGTGAACCGTGCTCTTTCATTCAGGTTCACTTTGATTCAAGCAATTTTTACAGGAAGTCGTGACACAATGTTCACGAAAATCTTCGTCGGTGGTCTACCGTATCACACCAGTGACAAGACCCTCCACGAATATTTCGAACAGTTTGGTGATATTGAAGAGGCCGTCGTGATCACCGATCGTCAAACGCAAAAGAGTCGAGGATACGGCTTCGTGAGTGCTTTTATTCCAACACCTAGCACTACGGTTTTTCTTTAGTCTCCTTAAAGCAGCGTTAGGAATTTGAAATTCAGGCGTTCCAGTGAAAAAGCTGATTTTTGCTGTTAACTTTACCAGTTATATTTCAAGCTACAATATTATATCGGCATTTCCATATTAGTACTGAAGCGGGTCAGATCGATATGTATCTAAAACACTGCTGCTGAACCGCACGGCTGACGTGCTTCGAGGAGATGCTAATGACCTTGTATTTTAGCAGAATGAAAGACATACACTTCTAGCTTGTCAAAATTCAATGTACCTGATGTGGAATCCTTCACACCCTTAGCAGTTGAATTGGGGGTAGGGCATCGAACAATACCTTTTTGTGACACGCATGCATTCTACGTCCATTCAATATTCCAGCAGCCTTAAATGCGATGGGTACTGTTTAAGTGATGAGCAAGCAGAGGCAGGTCGGATTGTATGCAAATTATTATCACAGACGAGTGTTTACCAAATTTAAAAAGTGAAACAAAAATCGACGCCAGAGGGGATAGAGGCTTATTTGACTAACGAACCTCGACATCCAAGATTTGTACTCGGACCGTGGACCGTGCGTGAGCAGCGCTACTTACCACTTAACCTCTTCCGTTCGCAGTTACAGTATCTCACACCTTCACGGCCTTATATCGAAGCTCGGCTTGATTCGCTGGAATAGTCTGAAACAGCATTCCTTTCAGACCTGAAATTCCATAGAGAATTCCGTCTTCATTTTTTTTTCCAGAAAGACGCATACTTCTGTGCTCAGTCGCCAATTTTTGCTCAGAAATGGCTTTCCAACGAAAGTTTTCATACAATGGCAAAACATTACAACAGGGTGGCAAAAGAGAGATAAAGAGTTGTGCAACAAACATTAAATGAACAACAAGTTACCCAACGCACACGCTTGCGAAGGTTCCATGCTATGCATGCTTAATTTGGTAGGGCTTATCTGTGGGTTTTTGGGTTATATTTAGTGCCTAATTTTGCTCAGCTCTAAGGACAGTTTTACTTCGAATAGGTGGAACTAATTTAGTGTATACGTGTGTTCGTTGTGCTTGACATTGTTTGAAGAAAATAAATTCAGGTAAATCAAATGAAAATCGTGGACAAGTGCGACGCGCTTGTAAAGACCCGAATCCGATCATCGACGGACGGAAAGCAAACGTCAATTTGGCCTACCTAGGCGCAAAACCACGTACCAATGTTCAACTCGCCGGTAGGTATACCTTCTGTCTACTATTAAATTAGTTCCATCCCAAATACGATTGATTCTTTCACATTCACGTTTATCTCTTGAGATAAGGGAAAGTTTTCTCCGTCCATATCGCTCCAAGTTAATATGAGTTGAGAAAATATAAGCTTAAAGCGATTTTGCTTGATATTTCGTCTTGTATAGAATTTTCTGGGAAAGTGACAAACACTTTTTTCTGCAGAGTTTTTTTTTTCGCTACCGCACGGGATTGGGCCGGTTTACAACGGCGGAAGAAAGCGGGTTTTCTGGTGCCTAATCAAGTTTCTTCGCAGGACTAGTAGTGTTATTTTTTTACTCTGTTCGATTTCCTCAAAACTTGTCTCGAAAGTAGTGCTAAGGGTATTGGTACTGGATGAGCCACAAATATTGTTGTGTGAGCTGGTAATTGCAGTAAGCGGTAAAGCAACTATTATTCTCCCAACTCAGTTCCTTTGCACATGACATCAGTGTGCATGTTTTTTTTTTAATTTTTTTTGCATATTTCACAGCACTCTCAAGACCTATAAAAGCTCTCAGCGAGAGGAAATCGGTTGCATAAGTCGAGGCAGGGCTCTAAGCTTTCGTTTTTCCGGATGTTCTAAGCTTCATCGACTTCCCCTGGGTGTTTAGGCTCAAAATATTGCTGTGAGTTTGTAATAATAGAAAAAATAATTGCTCTGACAGCCCGGTATTTCTTTAGAAAAGTCACTTGGGCTGCGCTTTCGATAAATTGTAACCTCCAAAGATCTGTATGCGATCTGTTCGTTCAGTTTCGTAGGCCATTCGGTCAAGCTGTACTGCTAGCGGTAGCTGCAACATTCTCAGGAGGGGGCGGGGCTCCGAACAAAGTGAACATTCAGGAACCACTTCAAAGGGCTCAGACGACAACTGTCTAAAACGACAATCAAATAAAGCGGTTCCGTCGTAGCTACCCTGAACGGCGCAGCAATAGAAAAAAAATTCTTGACATTATTGCTTTGGAAATTCAAAAATTATAAGCTAGTATTAATACATTATTTGGAGCGCGTTCCAAGAACGATTTAGAGTGGTGGACAGCCCTCAGAAGGAAAGGATGTGCTCATAAGGACACTCAAAATTTCGATAGTTTTCCAAAATCTAAAAGGGTGCCAGAAGAAGCTAGTGACACAGAGGTTTCTCGCTCGTCTGACATAGATATACTGGGAGTTTTCTTCAATAGGTTGGTCCCCTTACCTTAACGACGACCCTGGTACATGCTTTTGATACGAAGGCTGATATGGAATGAAGCTTTCGTTTCTGCATTGCTCTTTGGATGAGCCACGCACTCGACTTCCACTCATAATCCTGGTAGTACGTATGAGATTGCATCCTTGGCTCAGAAAACCGGCCAACAAGTGAGTATGTGCTCTTATCGCTCCAGTCAAATGGTACGACGTAATCAACATCGGAAACTAGATAGATTCTCTTCCGCGCGTGTTTCCTTATTAAGGACTATCTCACTAAACTGAGTACCCAGTAGCATCACCGGTTCCATTGCCTTCACTCGAGCTTTGGAAAGGAACTTCGTGCCATGTTTAATTTTTTTTCAAACATTTCAAAATGCCTCAGAGATCTCTGGCGTATAACAGCATCAATAATTTGGTTGTAGAAAAAGGTCACCTAAGCCTGAAGCCTGACTCAATGAAATCCAGTTGATCCCGCTAGTGCCTCAGTGTTCCCATTTTTCTCCGTCGCGTTCCAAATCCCTCTGTCTCGCACTCGGCTATAAAAAGCCCTGACGCTCGTTCACTAAAGCCCGAAAGGGAGCCCGCGCTCGTTCTCCAAAAACACTACGTTGTGTTTATAAAGCTGGCTCCGTCAGAACAGGGTTACTGTCGTTTCTCTTTGAGCTTATACAAGCTCTGCAACAGAGAAAAGGGGATCGAATTGTGGCGAGAAAGAGGCCTAAGAATACAGATTGAAACTTTACGTACACAGCTAGGCCTTTGCCGTTCGAGCTCTATTCCTGGAAACTGGAATGCCCACCTGAAGTATTGGGTGCTTTTTAGCAAAGAATGGTGTCTGTGCTCTGAATCTGTTGCATCACGAGTTTTGAGAAAAGTATAAAGGATTGAGTTTTTGGAGTAGAAGTCTTTTGAGGTGCGCTATGCACTTTACTTCATCTTCGTAGTTTCATTTCATGCGATACCTTTCATAGAAGGACATGCTGGGCCAAGCGATTTGCACCCAGGCTAGTCTTACACTAACCAACGAACACCAAATTGTGTGATTTAAGGTATATCAGGCCAAATTGTATTTGGAAGTTTCGATCATGCGGTCGTGAGCGTGGTAAGCGGCGCAACCTGTAACTACATCAACTACGTCTAAAAATATTGTCCTCAATAACTGAACACCAGATCCCGCATTGGCTAAGCGTTCGCTTTGTAACTAAATTAACTAGTTTTTATTCGCTATACAAGTTACTAGAGAGTTAATGCTGCGTCAAATCTTCATTGAATCTAGTTTTCCCTTAATATTCCTTGAATCGATTTGCTGATCAGTATTTCATAGCGTTCCTTTCTGTCCGAGCTAAAAAAATCTCCTATATCCTATCTCTTTCAGCATGCTGAAAGAGATAGGATAGAGATTAGCTCGGACAGAAAGGAACGCTATGAAATACTGATCAGCAAATCGATTCAAGGAATATTAAGGGAAAACTAGATTCAATGAAGATTTGACGCAGCATTAACTCTCTAGTAACTTGTATAGCGAATAAAAACTAGTGATGGTAGTTAAATAGCGAAACGCTTAGCCAATGCGGGATCTGGTGTTCAGTTATTGAGGACAATATTTTTAGACGTAGTTGATGTAGTTACAGGTTGCGCCGCTTACCACGCTCACGACCCTGGGATCGAAACTCAGATACAATTTGGATCTGATAACCTAATCACACAATTTGGTGTTCGTTGAGTTTTAGTGTAAGACTAGCCTGGGTGCAAATCGCTTGGCCCAGCATGTCCTTCTATGAAAGGTATCGCATGAAATGAAACTACGAAGATGAAGTAAAGTGCATAGCGCACCTCAAAAGACTTCTACTCCAAAAATCAATCCTTTATACTTTTCTCAAAACTCGTGATGCAACAGATTCAGAGCACAGACGCATTCTTTGTAAAAAGACACCATACTTCAGGTGGATCCGTTTCCAGGAATATAGAGCTCGAACGGCAAAGGCCTAGCTGTGTACGTAAAGTTTCAATCTGTATTCTTAGGCCTCTTTCTCGCCACAATTCGATCCCCTTTTCTCTGTTGCAGAGCTTGTATAAGCTCAAAGAGAAACGACAGTAACCCTGTTCTGACGGAGCCAGCTTTATAAACACAACGTAGTGTTTTTGGAGAACGAGCGCGGGCTCCCTTTCGGGCTTTAGTGAACGAGCGTCAGGGCTTTTTATAGCCGAGTGCGAGACAGAGGGATTTGGAACGCGACGGAGAAAAATGGGAACACTGAGGCACTAGCGGGATCAACTGGATTTCATTGAGTCAGGCTTCAGGCTTAGGTGACCTTTTTCTACCAAACCAAATCATTGATGCTGCTATACGCCAGAGATCTCTGAGGCATTTTGAAATGTTTGAAAAAAAATTAAACATGGCACGAAGTTCCTTTCCAAAGCTCGAGTGAAGGCAATGGAACCGGTGATGCTACTGGGTACTCAGTTTAGTGAGGTAGTCCTTAATAAGGAAACACGCGCGGAAGAGAATCTATCTATTTTCCGATGTTGATTACGTCGTACCATTTGACTGGAGCGATAAGAGCACATACTCACTTGTTGGCGGTTTTCTTGAGCCAAGGATGCAATCTCATACGTACTACCAGGATTATGAGTGGAAGTCGAGTGCGTGGCTCATCCAAAGAGCAATGCAGAAACGAAAGCTTCATTCCATATCAGCCTTCGTATCAAAAGCATGTACCAGGGTCGTCGTTAAGGTAAGGGGACCAACCTATTGAAGAAAACTCCCAGTATATCTATGTCAGACGAGCGAGAAACCTCTGTGTCACTAGCTTCTTCTGGCACCCTTTTAGATTTTGGAAAACTATCGAAATTTTGAGTGTCCTTATGAGCACATCCTTTCCTTCTGAGGGCTGTCCACCACTCTAAATCGTTCTTGGAACGCGCTCCAAATAATGGGTATTATACTAAGCTTATAATTTTTGAAATTTCAAAGAATATGTCGAAGAATTTTTTTCTATTGGCTGCGCCGTTCAGAGGGTAGCTACGCCGGAACGTGATATTTGAGTTCAGTTTTAGACAGTTCGCCGTCATGAAGCACTTTGAAGTGGTTCGCTGGAATGTTTCCTTTGTTCGGACCTCCTGAGAACTGTTGCAGCTACCCTAGCAATGAGTACAGGCGCTTGACCGAATGGCCTACGAAACTGAACGAACAGATCGCATACAGATCTTTGGAGGTTACAATTTATCGAAAGCGCAGCCCAAGTGACTTTTCTAAAGAAATACCGGGCTGTCAGAGCAATTATTTTTTCTATTATTACAAACCTTAACAGCATATTTTGAAGCCTAAACACCCAGGGGAAGTCGAGAAGCTAGGAAATCCGAAACGAAAGCTGGGGGTAGAGCCATGCTCGATTATGCATCCGATTTCCTCTCGCTGAGAGCTTTTATAGGTCTTGAGAGTGCTGTGAAATATGCAAAAAAAAATTAAAAAAAAAACATGCACACTGATGTCATGTGCAAAGGAACTGAGTTGGGAGAATAATAGTTGCTCTACCGCTTACTGCAATTACCAGCTCCCACAACAATATTTGTGGCTCATCCAATACCAGTAACCTTAGCACTGTTTTCGAGACAATTTTGAGGAAATTAAAGAGAAAAAAAACAACTACTAGTCCCGAAGAAACTTGATTAGGCACCAGAAAACCCGCTTTCTTCCGCCGTTGTAAACCGGCCCAATCCCGTGCGGTAGCGAAAAAAAAAACTCTGCAGAAAAAAGTGTTTGTCACTTTCCCAGAAAATTCTATACAAGACGAAATATCAAGCAAAATCGCTTTAACCTTATATTTTCACGACTCATATTAACTTGGAGCGATATGGACGGAGAAAACTTTCCCTTATCTCAAGAGATAAACGTGAATGTGAAAGAATCAATCGTATTTGGGATGGAACTAATTTAATAGTAGACAGAAGGTATACCTACCGGCGAGTTGAACATTGGTACGTGGTTTTGCGCCTAGGTAGGCCAAATTGACGTTTGCTTTCCGTCCGTCGATGATCGGATTCGGGTCTTTACAAGCGCGTTCGGCAGCTGCACGGTCCTTCATTGTTACCTGAATTTATCTCTTCAAACAATGTCAAGCACAACGAAAACACACGTATACACTAAAATTAGTTCCACGTATTCGAAGTAAAACTATCCTCCTAAGAGCTGAGCAAAATTAGGCACTAAATATAACCCAAAAACCCACAGATAAGCCCTACCAAAATTAAGTATGCATAGCATGGAACCTTCGCAAGCGTGTGCGTTGGGTAACTTGTTGTTCATTTAATGTTTGTTGCACAACTCTTTATCTCTCTTTTGCCACCCTGTTGTAATGTTTTGCCATTGTATGAAAACTTTCGTTGGAAAGCCATTTCTGAGCAAAAATTGGCGACTGAGCACTGAAGTATGCGTCTTTCTGGAAAAAAAATGAAGACGGAATTCTCTATGGAATTTCAGGTCTGAAAGGAATGCTGTTTCAGACTATTCCAGCGAATCAAGCCGAGCTTCGATATAAGGCCGTGAAGGTGTGAGATACTGTAACTGCGAACGGAAGAGGTTAAGTGGTAAGTGGCGCGCTCACCACGCGAGCGGTCCGGAGATCAAATCCTGGGTCGTGAGTCGCCCGGGCCAACCAAGCCTTCCATCCCTCCGGGGTCGGTTAATTGGTACCAGACTTGTCTGGGAGGATAATAGATTTGCCTACTAATCGACTGCCTCTCTTGCAAGTCATCACTTAAACAGACCCAATCGCATTTAAAATGCTGCTGTGAATTTGAATGGACGTAGAATGCATGGCGTGTCACAAAAAGGTATTGTTCGATGCCCTACCCCCAATTCAACTGCTAAGGGTGTGAAGGATTCCACATCAGGTACATTGAATTTTGACAAGCTAGAAGTGTATGTCTTTCATTCTGCTAAAATACAAGGTCATTAGCATCTCCTCGAAGCACGTCAGCCGTGCGGTTCAGCAGCAGTGTTTTAGATACATATCGACTGACCCCTTCAGTACTAGATATGGAAATTGCAGATATAAGTAAGTGTAGCTTGAATATGAACTGGTCAAGTTAACAGCAAAAATCAGCTTTTTCACTGGAACGCCTGAATTTCAAATTCCTAACGCTGCTTTAAGGAGACTGAAGAAAAACCGTAGTGCTAGGTGTTGGAATAAAAGCACTCACGAAGCCGTATCCTCGACTCTTTTGCGTTTGACGATCGGTGATCACGACGGCCTCTTCAATATCACCAAACTGTTCGAAATATTCGTGGAGGGTCTTGTCACTGGTGTGATACGGTAGACCACCGACGAAGATTTTCGTGAACATTGTGTCACGACTTCCTGTAAAAATTGCTTGAATCAAAGTGAACCTGAATGAAAGAGCACGGTTCACAAGAAAGCATTTGTGATGATCTGAAAAATTGGTAATGGGCGCAAAAAGCGTGGGAGAGGAACTTAACCCGGCCACTGCAACTGAAGGGGATGTTAGAGCAGATTTTCCTAGCCAGACACGCGACTTTGGCCCTTAATGATTATTCGTCGGTCATTCTCCATTTCAGGCAGGTGTGATATTAGGAGCTCAAGGAAACTAATTAAATAATTACTTAGCACACCCCAGTCCACTTGGTGGCTGGGAAGCCCCGCCCGTGGACGAGTTGCAATTGCCCTAATTGTCCTGGACCCTTTGATCCGCAACTATCTTTCAGCGCACAAAAATTTCTGTAAGCCCAAAAGGTCCCAATTTTTCGTTCCTGCCTTATTCGATATCATCTTAATTCTTACTTTTTTTTACTACCCTTTTCTGTCGGACTCAGGATATGGTCAGTGGTGGCAGTGGTATGCAGCCCTTGTACGTAATCTCTCTAAAATCTCGGGCTTCTTACAAAATCTCCTGCTATGGCATGTATAAGTTTGACTAACGCCCACGGAAAAGAACAGCCCACTTTATTACCATAACAGCCCTCATTACCTTTAATAAACCAGTTCACAGAACCTAAATAGGGCAATATCATTCCATTTCCATTTGAGATGGAATGGAATGGTTCGGTCAGATGTTCTGTAATGCTCTATTTCAAAAGAGCCAATAGAGCCTACCTTTTAGGTTACCACCTTCTAAACTCTATCACTAAACTATTATCTTCTACATAGTAAGCTGGTTGCATAAGTGGATGCCTTTTGATGAAACCCGTGAAATTTTGACCTAATAGCTTTTTGAAGTTCGTTCTCTGTGACCAGTGTAAGAAGGCTTCCAAGCGCCGCAATCATGTCACCGTGTGAAACCGAAATGAGTGCTGAACCGGGTCTCATTCTCGCCACACAAACATATAGCGGGAATGAAACCGGGTTCGGGGGTAAGCGGTCTGGCAGGTTGGCGAATCGCCGCGCACATGACATGGGCAGGCTCTTTTCTCACCTATGACTGAATCCGTTCCGGCGGATGCCAAGGCTGCCGCTGCTGCCTGCACCAACGGATCACTCAATTGTCCATATACTGAAGATGGAAGCATAGCTGCAATTAAAATCGCATCAATGTGAAAAAATACGGAAAACTATGAAATCCAAATCCATGTATTTCTATAAATTGGTAAAAAATAAATAAATTTAATGTCATCGGTGACGACTCACCTAGTTCTGAGACGAAACAAACACTGCACACTGCACACACACACGCACACAAACGTCCCGCAGGGAATTACGATAACCTGTAGAAAGTTTATAATTGGAGCGGATACTGTATCAACAATGACGCGAATGGGAAGTAAAAGTACGAAGAATTACGCGGACATATTAAGGAGGAAGAGGGCAGAGGCAAAGAAGTGGGGAAACCACGAGCAGCGGCGAATTCATAAAGAAAGGGCCAATGGAATGGGTCTTGAAAGAATAGCAGTGACTGGCTGAAGTACCTTTAGGCGATGGGAACGTTTTTCAAAGCAGGCAGCACACTTCTGCGATGTGATAAGATGAGAAGAGAGTGGGAGGAGGTCTAGAGAGTCAACACCCGGCTGACAGCCGCTCGGGCAACTGTCGCAGCAGCATCGGCGCCCGTCGGCGCCCGATCGCTGCCGACTCACTTGCCCAGATGACGAACTGACGGATGGACGTCCAACGAAACAGCGTAACGTTGCTGAAAAGCCTCATGAGCAGCTGCAGTACTCAAAACTGGACCTTTTAGTGATTGTCGTGTAAGTAGCACGTGAATCACTGCGAACTACACGAACGTTCCGCTGATTTTCGTCCGGAAGTCATTAATGCACTTCGCAGTATAGTTCTTTCACTCCCAACTAATAACGAGGAGGAAGTGTGATTGCTCTCTGGAAGCAGCGGGTCTTCTGTGACGGGACCTTCTGCGGGTTACTTCAACTGATCTATTGGACTCTGGCGTAAAAGGAATTGCTTGAATCCAAACCATGTACATGTGCGACGTTCCTGGCTTTGTGCTTAAGAGGTATAGCCTTATTTTGCTATTTTCCTAGCTTGACCGTTGACCCAAGACTCGGGCAACAAAAGGGCAGGGACTCACTCTATCCGCATCTCCGGCCCCAGTTCAGCAGAAATTTTTCAAATG